TTGTTGCGTGGGATAAAAAATGGGAATTTTGCTAGTTTGTACAGGCTACTTTGTACAAGTATGCCAAAAGCTATGGAATGACAATCATCTGTACCGACTACTTTGTACTTGTGTAAGAACAATATGAAAGTTACGATCGTTCGTACCGACAACATTTGGATAAGGTAGAGAAAGATTTGGTTGAGACTATCGTTTGTATGGACAACTTTGTATAAGTGTGAGAAAAAATATAGATGTGACGATCGTTTGTACAATTTTATTTGTATAAGTGTGAGACAAATATGAAATGTCGTTTGTTTTTACGTTCTACTTTATGTACGTTGGATTGAAAATATGGAAGTGTCGATCGATTGTACGGTCATCTTTGTAAACGTGTAAAAATCTTTATTTTTATATAATTTACCCATAGTTCAGATGTTTAATACAAATGTAATCGGTTTATACAGCTTCTAACTTAACTATAAAATTCGATCGACATTATACAAAGGTGAAATATACCTCCGGACGTTTCGTTTGATACACCAAAAATATCCACAAGTAGTTTCATAAATTTTTTCGCCGAATCCATTGACCTTTCCCCAATGCTGGATGATACATCGACAAGCAATACGACATCAAGACCACTTTTACCAGGGCTTAAACGAGCTGAAATTTAAAGAAATTTATCACAAACATTACGATATCAAGACCACTTTTACCATCGATTATAAACTAGAAATTCATAGGAATTTATCTCAAGTATAACTATATAAAGACCACTTTTATCAGCGAATATAAACGAGCTGAAATTTATAGAAATTTATTTCAAACGTTTCTATATAGGGACCACTTGTACTAGCGAAAATAAACGACCTGAAATTTATAGACCTTTATATCAAACGTCACTATATAAAGACCGGAAACGGATTTTATTTTATGCATTTTTTTAAATTTAGATATGTGTTACAAACATAAACATCAAACAGCTTAAAATTACCAGGGCTTCCACAACCTGACATTTATAAAAAAAATATATTTTCACAAACAAAACGTTATCAAGACCATTTTACCAGGCGTTAAACGGGTTAATTTTATAGAAATTTATAACAAACAATACGATATCAAAACCACTTTTCCATGGCTAAAACAACCTGAAATTCATAGAAATATATCGCTATACTACACCAAGACAACTCCTACTACTTCGGCGTTTGGTGGATTGGCCTACAATGGGCACATTTTATGTATTATTTCAAATACTGATTAATACAACAGAAATGAATCAATTGAATATTCTTACAAACTGTGATTGGACCAAAAATGTTGATCTAGGTCTTTGTGATTTTGTATGTACATTTATATGATGAATTATAAAATTTTGTTCTTAAACACTTAAATAGCGAGTTCGAAGAGGGGCAAGTTCGCAAAGCGAGCTTAACGATAACTCGAGTACCATCTAGCTAGTGATGGTGTTGAAAACTTTCGCCGAAAAATTATGGGAAATTGACACATCGCAACTTTTCGAATTTCAAGATAACGATAAAAACCAAGAAATTCTGATTGAAAACGGATGCTTAGACGACTGGTGTCCTGCGCACTTTTATGGGAACCATAATAGGAGAGACGGAAGCTGTGCATAAAATACCGAATGACAGTTTTAAAAGGGAAAATGTAAAATATGGTGTTGAGTGATTGTGCAGCCGAACGTGTGCAGTTCTAAGTGTATTGAAAACATAAAATGTGTAGCCGTCGATAGCTTTAAATTATGTTCTTTAATTTCTGACAAAGATCTCGCGTTGAGGTTTTGCATTATTCATATCTGCTATACATGTATATCAATATATTATATTGGATCATGTAACCCACACTTGCCGTCTGCATCAATTCTTTCGTTAATTATGTTACTTTACACTATCAACAAAATTTTGATTGGTAATGCATACTTGCTAGGACCAATTCTCAAAGAAGCTGAAATTCACAAACAATACGACATCGGTACTTCTCTTACCAGTTTAACGAAGTGAAATTCACAGAAAATTACCATCTTAAAGTTAAAGGTAATAAAATGAATCGTCATTAGAAATCTAGCCGCAACTTCATATTGACTTCAAACCACTTGCCCCTCACCTTTGTGGGTTCTAATCCCGACATGGACTTTGGTTTTTGTCATGTGTAAAATCTATCCAGTTAGCTTACGGAACGTCGGTGGTTCTACTCAGTTGCCCGTTCGTGCCTAAAATAATGCACGGAAATGCATCTGAGGTCTTCCTCCACCTCTATAGATGGAACGTTGCCATATCACCTATAATGTGTCGGTGTGACGTAAAACCCAATCAATCAAACAAACAAACAAACAGGCAAGTTCGTTTTAGGTTGAAAGTATAGTTTAGATGGCACTTATATCAGGTGATGTTTAAGATTCATATATATATCTTGATTATAACTGATTTAATAAGCATCCCCAAAAAGGCAAATGTATGCATAAAAGAGATTTCAAATTACATTTGTTTACGTTATACTTAATTATAAATAAGAATAAATGTAAAACAAAATGAAATTACACTGTGCGCCAGTCTTTGAGCTAGTTGTCGTCCCTGCCAAACTGTCAATCATAGTTTCTTTCAAATGACTGGCAATATCCTTGATGGTGCGTCGACCTGTTGAATACATAAGAATACAGTCACTGCTGAATACAAGACTGCTGTCACAGCGACTGTTGAATATATGAGAATTACACAATACATGTACTTGAGAAAACACAATGACTTTTGAATAAATGAGAATAATTATGTTACTGTTGAATGAATGAGACTAACACACAATCCGTTCATGTTGAGACAATAACTTGGTTATTGGTACATGAAAGTAACATTGTGACCGCCGAATACATTTATAGGCAATAGCTGTTCTTACAGTTAAGATTTATTTTACTTTTTGATGCAATCTGGGACCGGACAAGGCGGTTGAACAATAAACTGCTAAAATTTTGCCTTTTCAACTTTTAAAGGTCTAATTCATCTTTTCACGCCGATATACATGTATGTATGACTATGAATGAAAAATGTAAAAATCGGGGGAAAAAAGATATTTGTCTATTTTATGATAATGATTATGCAATCGTCTATAGGTACTGATCCAATCCTGTATTGACTTAAGTCCATTTTAAAAAGCTTTATAAATGTCACGAGTATCCAATGAAAAGTGACATTACAAACGCGCAGTATTATTAAAAAACTAAAGGCTAACGGTCACGATTGTCAAGTGAAAAGCAACGTTACAAACATGCAGTATATAAAAGATAATATTATCAGTAAAACGTTATATAAAATAACAGTAAAAATAATCCAGTCTTATCGACCTACTTTTACAAACAGGCATAGTACCATCCCATCTGCGGCCTTTCTGGCAAGTTCTTGTAGATGAACCGTAAAGTACGAAACCCTCGTCACAAATAAAAGAAGCTTTGCTACCAACAACTCTTCCCTCCGTATATACATGGCCATTGTTTGGAGTTCTTAACTCAGGGCATTTTGACTCTAAAAAAAATAAAATTCAAATCTTAAATAGAACTATTTGTGTTCGCACTTTTACGCGTTTTCTAATGTTGAATTTTCAAAATCAGTAAAGCAATTGATAAGTTTAAATGTGAATTTAATCTTGTCTGAATATGTGTAAGATGTGTTAGGGATCTTCATGTCTTTTGCAATGAAAACACCCTAAAATAATTAGTGCCTTGCTAACTTACATTTAGCGGGAGGGTGTCGGGGGAATAGGGGGATAAACTGGAACTTAATGCATTGGACGGAATATCCACGGTGGTTAACCAAAACGGCTTCTGCACGGTCATCTTTGCGTTCTCTTGCTTTTTTACGAGTCAAGGCGGTTTCTATCAAGGAGAAAAAATCCGATCAAAACACGGATATGTAAGTTTTAAAAGTTTTTTTGCACGGAACATAATTAACATTTATGTTCAATATTTCATTTGTTCCATTCATATAAGTCTGCATTAACTAGACAATAAAGACAAGATAAAGATAAGTGTGATTCCTAAGTGAATGTGTGTGTGTGTGTTTGTGTGTGGGGGGGGGGGGGGCGGTGAAGTGTCAGGTATGTGGAGGCGGTGAAGTGTCAGGTGTGTTGGGGCGGTGAAGTATCTTGTTTCTTCTTGCGACTTGTGAAGCAGCATCGGACGTACTTATAGATCATTATTTTACGGACAAGGATATAGTATGAACTAACATGGACAAAGATTAACTTTGTTTATTACTTTTGTTTAGTCAGAAAGACTAAACGTTAATGCGACCAATGCACCCTAACAGTTATTTAAATAAACATAATCGAGATAAAATGGATTTAAAATACCCCCCCCCCAACACACACACACAAAAGAAATGATAAAATACATACGTGTAAAGTCCAAGTTCAAACAGTACAAGTCACTTCCGGTCCATTTACCCTTTCGACACTTCCGGTCGCGTTGCCGGTAGGCGGTCAATATGTAACCATCATCACATTCATAACGCAAAGTCCTCTTCCGGTCGTCGAAGATAAAAGAACCATACCAGGGTTCCTCTGGAAGTACACAGCCGTATTTCCTTTTCACTGCGAAAATGAATAGATTAATACGTTTCAGCAACGCTATAGAACTGCGCACTGATTTATTGAGGAAAAAAATAAATCATACACGGTATAATATGAAAGGGGAAATGATGTCGCGGTTTGTTGAGGGCACCTGTAAATTTTCCGCTATACTTCGGAAACTGCACTAGAGGGAAATTGTTTGCTGTATTATTAATAATTAGCAAGTTGTTAGGAATGGTCAACAACATGATGAAAGAAGCAAATAATTACATAATTACTGAATAGCTCCCCTGAATAAATTTTATAATAAACTTATTTGCGTCAAAGTACACGTAAAACTATGTATTTACAATGTTATAGGCTAAGTTATAAGTTCTCCCCCAGAGGCTATATTGTTGTGTTTATTTTTTGTTGTTGTTGTTGTTGTGTGATTGTTTTTTTTTACTTCCTGTTTTTGCACTGCGCTGTACTAAACACTTTGAAACAAAAAGAGTAAAAATTAACTTATGGTTAAAAAATAAATTATAAACTGTAACATTTAGATACTTTCAACATCATATTCAATCAAAGTAAGATTTTTAAAATGGGTCAGACATAGACAATAGGTCGACCATTTTGAAAACTTTATGTCATCATTTTATTCGTGGAAAATGGTGTTGGTGTAACACCATTGGGTTTTTTTCTTTTGCTCCAGTTAAAATTACTAAAATTATACTAGATATTAAAATTTACTTTTAAGTTTGTTACTCAAAATTGCTTTCTTAACAAACAGGAACATTTAGAAAATGATGACTTTTTCAGACGAATGCATACATTTAAACAGACTTCTGCGATCTTTTGCAAAAATTAGTAAAATGTTGTTCTGTTTTTTTAAAAAAAAAAAATCTACAGATTTTAAATATTTTGCACAAACACTTTGATGTTTAGGTGTATGACTAAAATATGTCAATTTTGACCAATGTCAACACTGGTCACAAGGAAATATGGCATTACCGTTAACAAAATGATGACGCAAAATTATAGATTCTGATTATACAAATGTACTCCTTTAATCAATAACTACATTATTTGGTATAATTATTATTTAAATTTTATGTTTTACTTTTTTGAGGCGGGGGGGGGGGCGGTTGGGGCGGTTGTAGGTTATACTAAATCATTTTTAGATTATACTGTCAATTAATCAAAACATGATGTATCGGTCTCTAAGACGGGACATAGTTTTCCTGACTGGATTAGTTAAATACCATTCAATAAATCACTTATTAGCATGGAGAGCGCAAGCGTATAGCAATTTATTGTAATCTATTAGGCCTATAATAACATGCGACTGAAATAGTGTGTAAATAATGTAGATAACATCTCTTGCTATTTAAAGTTAAAGGGTATGTGCTGACTCCCTCGCTACTCTCTTCTGTGGTTTTTCGAATTCCACTCATGTGACTAGTACTTGCGAGCAGAATGGCAATGGTTTTACTTAAGAATATTTCTTTTCCACACCGGGTAAAGTTGGGAAGTTGTCATATCATTTTTACCGAGACGTGAGACTTTAAAACATTTCCAAAATAGTACCAAAAATAAAATTGTTTTACGTACGTCTAGCATCTGTTGTTCCGAAGGAAAATACTGTAATAAAAAGAATCCATGATATAATACTTGTTTGCGTAATAGCACGTGGTAATAACATCGTTAAACTCTTTTTTTCAAATTCCGCAATTTAATATACTATGTATATGTGAGTGTTTATCCGTGCTGTTCTACAGAAATTAGAGCGGTTCTATGAAGTACTATGAAAATAGTAGGCGACTATGAACGGAATTCGATATACTATCGACTTTTGTTCTTCTATGAAAATTAACGCACACAAGTTTTAAGAAATACAGCGTTTTCATTGGATGACAAATAAAGCTGGACACTAAGTATATACTGAATGCAGTTTAAAAAAAAAACCAGATCTACGTGTCCATAAATGATCCTATCTTCAAAACTTACTGTAAGTACTCTTACATCCGGTTTCTCTTGTCAATTGAGTATTTGTATTCCGGAACCTTTAATTATCATAGAAAAACATGTCCTGTTTCTGTTAAGATTTAATTACTTCTTAGAATTCGCGGACAAAAAAAACATAAATCTTCAGTTCAAGGTCAATTAAGGTTTAAAGACTTCTTAGAATTCGCGGACAAAAAAAACCCATAAATCTTCAGTTCAAGGTCAATGAAAATTCGTACAAGTAGGCAAGAAGCGAGGTTTTACGCAAGCGTAAAATGGCTGCGAAGTAATTAGGTGAATGGAAAGGAATAAGTCGTGTTTAAACATATTTTATTCCTTTCAATTTTTACAAGGTGTACAATGCAAATATATAGAAAAATATAAAAATACATTTTGAAAGAAAAAGGGTTGGACCACAAGTTCAAATAACAAGTAATTCGGTCCGTCCCTAATATTATAGATAATTAATGAAAAATGCGAGTAGCATTAAAAAGTTGAATTCGTTGTGGTGTATACCGTCTGCAATTGAAAAAGAAATGTTCAGCATCTTCGAAAGCATAACCGCATTCACAAGATGCATTTTCTCTTAAATGATTTCTAAATAAATCAGCATTTAATTAAATTGCTACATTTGTTACGAATTTGAGCATGTAAAACCGAGTGATACAGAAATTATAAGGAACTGTCGGAGGTTTGTTTGCTTAGGTAGCATTGGCTGACAGACGAACTATTCAAAAACTCGTTAGTGTATAAAGCTAAACAGGACACCTTACCATATTATTTGTTACACATTTTTCCAGATACCGTTTCTAATAATGTGATATTAGCTATCAATTTTGTTTTTCATTACGGTCTTTTATTTCAATCCAAAGTGATTCTGGTAAGGTATTTTCCAAATCAATTAGCCTTTTAGATACGAACTTCTCATTAACATAAACTAAAAGTCCACCAGAGTGACACGTGTTGTCTTTACGGTACATTTCGCTGAGTTAGTTTCAAACTGTCAATATTGATTGAGTTGTCCAAATGTGTTTCCGTGAAACAGATAATATCAAAGTCTAACCAGTTATCTGTAATATATTCAATTTTATTCCTGATACTTCTTATATTCTGATGAAAAACTGATAAAGATCCGACAATGGCATCATTAGGCCCTGGATTTAATTCAATATCACCTGATAAAGTATAAGAATGAAAAATGTAAGATATACTGTTCGTACTCTCCTGCGCATCGGTCGAATGTTCCACTATCGCTCACTTCTTACCTCTGCTAAAATTGTAGGTTCAGACCGATATTTCTATTTTTAGACAGGAAAATCCGTGTCTACACTTCAGCCAATCAGTGACTAGCTTACTTGTAACGAATTGTCACATGCCTGAATTTGACGCACCGTGATGTAAACAATTATGCGTGTTCATTTGTACTTTACTTAAAATTGTTTGTATTAAACGTTTCTATTAAATGACCCAATAAAGCTACCAAAATGGATAATTTGCGATAATATATTATTTACGGATCGTCAATTGTAATGGAGTCTACGTAAACGCGGTAGCTCAATACGAATACTGGCTGCAAGAAAGTTCACGTCCGTTAAAATTATTTTTCTTATATTTTCTCACAGAATTTGGAGTGTAGAGTTCGAAGTTAAAATCCTTTAAAATCCAAATAAAATGTATATTTGTAAATCCCAGCACATGTACTGATCATAAATATCAAATAAAACTTAATAAAGGCCGTTTTGTTTAAAAAAAAAAACATATTTCAACGTCTATAATAATCATATACATACAAATTCAGTATCATCTAACTTTAATGATGGTCATTTAAGAAAATCCAAGATAATATTTGACGTACTTTCTTAGCCTGTGTTTTTTCATGGATGGGCAGGTTTTGTAGGTGATATACATGTATGTGCAAAATGACATACATATACTACATACTTATATCTGCAGACTCAAACCAACACTATTTTACACATCAATAGTAAATCTGCATTGGTTACTCATTTGAAATTCAGGTATTCTACTTAATAATATTGTAGTCAATCAGGAGCCATAAGCTTGTCCATTAATATCAACAAGGGCTGTCAATAGAACAGTTGTTCTATTCAACTATATTCAGCACTTGATGGAAAATGTTTGAATTAACTAAGGAATATTTTATTTATTTACATATGATCAAGTCTTGCATTTTGTAATGTTCGCATGAGGCCATATTTCATTTAAAATTCACAAGTTATGAGCCTTTGACAGAGACGTCCAAAGTATACTATTATTAAGTTTCAAGATTAATTTTGCAGGCAAAACTTTCACCTGTATTAAATCAGAAGTTCAGAGGGTCATACTTCTGTCAAAATCCATGCTAGAGTGTGTGCAAAGTCTTTTACACATAAAAGAATCCAATATTCCTTGCGGATTTCAAACCAAGGTTAAGTGCAAGCCATTAGTTGCACGAAAAACATAAAGATGTGACACTGATGAAGAATTCCAGGTGTAAAGGATAGCCCCATTTTTCTTCAAATAGTTAAGTTAAAAACAATAACTGCACTGTAGATCATCATTGAATTTATTTTACACCTGTAAGTCTTCATTTTCAAAACAATATGCAATATGAAATTACAAATGCAATATTTTATTGATTTAACATACACCTAAATATAGTGTATAAAGGGTTGATCACATAAACATAACAAAAATAAGAGTACATAAGTTGGCTGTAAGATCACTCACAATCACAGGGATAAATTGACAAATATCTTTTCCTATGAAATTAACATCCTAAATCAATAGTAACAATAGAAAAACAAGATCAAACTTGACCAGAACACTAAATATATATATAGGTTGGGATAATCTAGTTATTGAGTAGGCAATATATATTTAAGCTAGTTTGGATATTTCAGGTTTTAAAGTACAATTTATGCCTTCAGTACTGGTTTAATACTGAACTTTCTGAGTCAGACACCCAGTCATATTGTTACTAAGTTCAGTGAAATTATGATACCCATTCACATTGTTACATTGTAAAATGTTTACTAAATATGCATTAAATCAAAGCAAGAGCCTACATATTATTATTTTATTTTTGGTAAATCAATGGTAATAATTTAATAAATTTCATTCAAAATTGTTTTTAATTAAACTACAATGGTCAGCATTACTTCGAATATAATCAGAAGTAACTTAGACACTAAAGGTATATCAATTCTGTCCACTTGTACACAAGTAAACAAAAACCTCCTTTTCTGTTAAACTGTTTCAGGATTTCTAAGCTTTATCAGCAAGTATGGAAGTTAACTTATTAATAATTTCTCAAATAATGACATAGAAAATCATTCAAAAGAAAAAAAACACGACGCGCATCTGTATATAGGTCCACAGGGCGGGACCAATTTTAACCCAGGGATTTTATTTGTACAAACTTGGTAGACACCCATTTGAAGATGTTTCATGATGAATATCTAAGCTCTAGCTCCAAGAAAGTTTCTAAGTTTTTACTATACACATATAGGGAAAGAGAATGAACCCTCCCCCCCCGGCAGGGTTATTAAGAAGATTTTTTGCCAGCAGTATAAAGCCAGGCTATTGAGACTGAACAGGATCCACACTGTTGTCTCACTAACTTTAACTTTTCATCCTGATGAATAATGTACCCAAAATGATAATAAACACTTTTAAATATGAAAGCCAGACATGTCCATTTATAAACTCTACAGACTAAGGGTTGATATAATTTTGCATCAATGCTCTCATTTTGCAAAATTCAAAATCAAATAGGTAACATCTAAAAGCATTTAAAGAAAGGCTGCATTAATAAGTCTTATTATGTTGTAATGAATGACAAATATCCTATAAATAATTTCATGTTAAAGCAAAACTGTTAGTTCAGACATTACAAGTTGAATTAAAAAATCTAACTTTGGAACAGGAACCATATTCCTAAACAAATATAATCATGCAGGATTTATGCAGCTTGTTCTATGATATGGTGCTAATGTGAAACAAATGTCCCCAGTTCAAATGCTATCATTTACAATGTAATAATAACATAGGTTCCAGCAGATCTACATTTATTTAAGACTATGAAAAAAATAGACATAACTCATTGTTAATTAATTAAAAGTGCTATCTCATTTATAAATAAGCAACAGTAATAACATAGATACTGTAAATACCCTAAATATTCAAATTTATAAAGGAGATATCATTCACAAAATACTGGTGCCTGATGTGGGAAGAAAATGATGTCAACAAAATTCAACTTGTTACATCCTTAATGTATTACACAATATCTCACACAGTAAATTTAAAAGTTTCAGAAACAGCTAATTTAAAATTTATCAAAAATTACAAAATTGTGTAAGAAAATATCTAATTTTCATTAAAAATGATGCCAGAATTTTAAACCTATGTACAGCCATTTGATGCGAGTGTTGATAGGAAACTTAAAAGATTCTGATTATAGAACTGTTTAAAAATTTAAATTGAACATGCACATGTATTTCATTATACCAGTAAAAATAAATTTCTACAATTTCCATCATTAATTCCTTTTGACAAAGGTCACAACTTGCAGCACCAATATATGTGTAGTTTTCATGAATTTGTCAAAGGATTATTTGTGACAGTGTTGCCTTTCACAAAACTTATCATCTTGGACAAAACCTGGGCAAAACCTTGACCTGAAATTTATTACACACTATACTATAATTCCATGAGAAAGTGTTCCAACACTAAGTTACTTTAACTTAATCAATATGTTGAATGCAGGTATATGATGATGGTCCATACTGTACAAGTATTGAAGTCTAACCATATTTCAACATTTTTGCAGTGATGAAGACTTTAAGACTGTTATTTGGCTCTGATTGATGAATTGATTTGATATTTGCTGTAGTAATATGTCACATAATTCTCCATCCCAAATTTTATTTTCAAAATAAATAAAAAAGGTCAAAAATCCTTATTTTATCTTCTGTAAATGCATGAAAATCACATAAGTCATTTGTTCATAATATTTACTTCCCACTTTCAGATCCACAGATACTTTGATCACTGATTTCTTTTATGTTTTCTGCCTTCAAGTTCAACTGTACTATTTTATACATGTACCTAGTACACAATGTTTATTTGGCCTAGCTGTAGCTGTAAGTGCTAGCAAAGCTCTTCAACCCCTGTGAACACTGGATGAAACACATCTTTCTGGTTTTTTTGTCATATACCCTAAAAAACAGAAGTTATGACATTTATTCAATTATATACATGTATATGGTACTGTATATAAGAATTGTACAGTATGAAAACATCATTTAATTATACAGTAACAGTCCTGTTGTTTAAAGAAAATAACCAACTTTATGTTAATAAATGTCAAAATATAGTCCACTGTCTGTAATGTCAGAAGAGGATAACAAATAAATGGTGTTGATCCATTTAAACATCTACAGAAATCTGTCAAAATGCAGAAACTTAAAATTTGAAATTAAATCATCTCATAAAATATCTCCTTCTGAGCTACTATTTAATTTATACTTTCAATACCCCATAAGCACCTTAAATTTGGAAATAGTAAAATCCCTGTAGCTATCATGGCCAAACTTTAATAGTAACTTTGTTTTTGAGGCAGCCTGTAATTATGTGACCTTAAACAGATACTTGTGCAATCTATCAAAAATAGCCTAATTTCTCCCAAGAGAAATATAACTGTAACAAACTCTTTACATTTCAAATGACCTATGGAATTTGGAAGATATATATGAGCCGCGTCATGACAAAACCAACATAATGGGTTTGCGACCAGCATGGATCCAGACCAGCCTGCGCATCCGTGCAGTCTGATCAGGATTAATGCTGTTCGCTAACAACCCTAAAACAAGTAGAGAAACTGATAGCGAACAGCATGGATCCTGATCAGACTGCCCGGATGCATAGGCTGGTCTGGGTCCATGCTGGTTGCAAACCCATTGTGTTGGTTTTGTCA